TTTTCAAATCCCAAGTACATAGGCTGCTTCAAATCAGAACAGTTGGGCCCTATTTTCAAAAAGAGAGTGAAAGAGAAATATTAATGGAGTAATTACCTCTAAGTATTATTCTCTGTGAATATGTGTGGCGTGTACAGATATTCACATATTTAACATATAAGTTTTTATGGGGAAAATTGACATTAATTAAATAGGCATTCTACATTGACATTAATTAAATAGACATTTTACATTTTGCCTACACACATATGCTTTATGTCTAAATTGAAATCTATCATAATACAATGAAGAAAATCACCTGCTTACTTCCATTTTAAAAGAAACCTGTCTTTTTAAAAAAATTCTTCTGAAAGGCATTTTTATTAAATGTAAACAATGATAATTTTCTTTGAAATACTCAACATTATCCTAGTCTTAATAAAGTTGACCAAGATAACAATTAGTTCACATTTGTAATAGACAAGTTATAAAACAATTTTTAAAGCTTTTCATTATTTCATCATTGCTATATTATAAAATCCTACAGTCATAGAGTTGAGCAAAATAATCAATTTCTGCCTCTATTTCAGACTAATAAATATTCAAACTTAAATCCTTAAAAGGGGATTTTATATTTTGTCTTAATTCACTCTGATTATAAACGCTCTATTTGATCCCTGACCAACCATCAAAAGACAGTTTATCAAGCAAAGTCATACTGCAAAGTTGAAGCAACCATTGAAACCCTTAAACAGCCTGCTACCAACCATACCCTACTCCAGCAACAAGCAAGGAAAACATCCACTAGTGTATGGCCCAAAGAGGAGCAAGAAATTTCTCTACAGAGTTGGCAACAACTGCCCCACCAATCCATCCACAGACCACAGATTTACACTGCCAAGTTGAGAGATGAACTGGAGCTGCCTGCACCTTGAGGAAAATAGCAAGTGGTCCCATGAGGAACAGTGTAGCCAGCCTTCTCTATTTCCATTACAGCATGGAAGAAAGGACCACATCCGCATTGGCTAGTTCTGGCCCAGCAGAAGACTAAACAACTGTACCTAAATAGACCTCTATCCCCAGAGGAACAAAAGCAGCAGCCAAGATAAATTGAAAGGAAATTCTTCCTACAGAATCTCTGTAACTAAAGAAAGGGGATCAAGTTAAAAAGGGCAGTAAAGCATTCCGGGTCTTCACATTTTGAGGTCACCGTGACAAGATCAAATGGCTTTTTCATCGTCCTTAAAGACTCTCTTACCTTTCAATATTCTGTTCTCGTCTTATAAAATAATTTGATTGGCTAAAATAATGAATGTTGTGAAATATCTATGTGTGTGGTACCACATGAATCCAGCAGCAAAGGTAGTTGCCATTTTGCTTGCCTCGTCCTCTGACATATCCCAAGCTTAATCAATTAAAATAATTAGGTTGATATGTCTCAGCAAGCAATACACATTGCCTAGAATTACTCCCTGGCAGGATAAGTATGTGGTTCATTCTAAGCAGTTGTACCCCTTTGTGAACATCTCATCATCCTTCTTAAAAATATGCAGAAAAATTTTAAAGGTTTCCCTAAAAAAAAAAAAAAACAGTGCATAGTGAGCCCTATGAGAGGAAGCCATATTTTTATGACATTTTATTTCTCAGTTATCTTGAACTTTAATAATAATAAATTTTTTTTCATAAATGTTATTGCTGACGGATTTTGGAAAAGAAATGCTTTGACTTTTCTGTATCTATCTTTTATTGAATCCTGGACATGTGCAAAGAAGAAAAACACAGTTAACCTGGTTTTGCATTTATGTAACCAGCATTGAGGCTGGCCAACAATGAATGTATACAGGCCCATGTGCACACGGGTGTGACAATAAACACAGATGGGCCTGAAGAGAAAGAGGCGAGCAGCACACGAACAGAAAAGGAGGCAACAGGCCTTCAAAATACCATACAATCAGCCTATCCTTTCTGTTCCCTTTTAGATGACTGTAACGTGAATCTGGACTTATCAAGGACAGGACGGACAAGAAACAGGTCGTGACTTTGGTGGACTCAAAGTAGATTTTGAGGGTCAACAAGAATTTCAGAAAACATAGACTCTATAAAGTTACCCAAAAGGTTAATCTTGCCCTGTGGCCACCTTTATTTGTTTGACACATAAACATCTTTACAGATATGCCAACCACTCACAAAGCATTGTACTTGATATATGTAAGACAAGTTCCCTTTTCCCAGCACTTGCCACCTAGTATCATTCCACCTCACACACATGAAGATCATTAATAATTCACCCCTCACATCTTTGCTCTCCATTGATAAGAAATTCAGAGTTATTCTAAGCTTTCTGTAGAAGTTTTTTGGCTTTAGGTGCACATGTTGCTTGCGGGAAAATTATGTTCTTTACTACATTTCAGTCATCATTGAAAATTCAACATCATAAATATCTTACTATATATTTTACAATATATTACAGGCTAAATTGGTTATACTAGCTTCCTATGTTCATTCCTAGCTGATCAACTTCTAAATCCTTGGTTTGCCAGTTCAGAAATGGGAAGTTTAACTTCCCATTTATACTTTCTATCTCATCATTTCCAACCCTAGACAAAGATGCAATTTAAATTTCATGTACTTCAAACGCCTGAGCAGGAAGAATAAAAAGTACTTCCCCTACTAAGACCATAGTACTCTGCAACTCAGAAGTTCCAAAATTTTAACCAAAAACCAATGAAAATTTTAATAATTAAACCCAGAGAAACTTAGGATTCACACAAACTAATGGTTACTATTCATATACAGAAGGATAGTATAGAATGAATAACACTCATCCAAAAGGCTATTCAAAATCATAGGATCATGTTCCATATATTACCACTAAGATTCCCCACATTAAGCTTAAGAGTTATTTTAGTTTCATTCTATAATCAAACAAAATTAATTCCAGCTAAACCCATATTTTAGGGTCTACTAACTCACAAATTTAAAGAGAATTTACACCTATATCTGTAATGCTAGTCCTGTACAAAAGAAAGGAAAATAAACTACTACCTTGTGGTATCTGTGAGACTCAAAAGGCACTCCAGACCAAATATCACTATTATCAGTCAGCCAAAAGAACCGGAACTCTTTCCATCAAAATTACTTGTTTGGGTTAAGCCATTGATCATTAAAATCCCTTCTTTGGGTTAACCCGTCTGAAAATTCCCAGAAGAATGGTAGCGTTTCTGA